AGAGGCGCAGAAGACGGGACACCGCACACAGAAGCTATAAAGAAAAACAAAAACAAAAACAAAAAAGGAGGGGAAGCAAATGTTCCATGGCCAAACTACTCCCCCCGTTAAGAGGGGACACCCTTACAGGTCGTCCGCGCCATCGTCCTTTGCTGCTGGCTTCGACTCGGCCGCCGCTGCTTTTGGCTCCTCTGCAGCCGCCGCCGCTGTTGGCTCCTCTGCAGCCGCCGCCGCTGTTGGCTCCTCTGCAGCCGCCGCCGCTGTTGGCTCCTCTGCAGCCTCCGCCGCTGTTGGCTCCTCTGCGGCCGCCGCCGTTGCCTCCCCCTCTTCCTTGTCCACCGGAAGCAGCAGTCCTTCGTCGGTGCCGGCGGTGTCGGGCTCGACGTCCGAGACGTCGTACTCGTTGTCGTCTGGGGGCAGCATCGTGTCGTCCGCGGCGAGTCCCACGCGTCCCCGCAGCAGCCGGCTCACGCGCTTGGCGTACATGGCCTGGTTCGAGACGGGGAAGCCTCCCTGTAGGTTGGCCGTGCCAAAGAGCACCCACGCCACGTCGATGGCGGTCTGGTCCTTTGGGTCTGCCTTAAACCGTGTCAGCAGGTCCAGCACGAGTGGGTGGCGGTGGTTAATCTCGAGCACGCGGGAGTAGCGCATCGTCTGGGTGGAGGAGATCGCCTGCTGGTTCATGACGTTCACCATGCGCGGCGTCAGGTCGTTCTCCTGCGTGGACAAGATGAAGGCCTCCGAGCTCTGCCGCTTCGTCAGAATAACCTTCCGCACATCGTTCTTCTTGAACAGGTTCGCAAGGCGCTCCGTGAGGGGTTGATACTTCTCAATGCGCTTCTTTTCAATGGCCTTCTCCTTCTCTGTCTGCTCCTCGAACTGCACGGAGTCTTTGGCGAGGTTGACCAGCCGCTTGTTCGCAAAGTCCTGTATCTGCGACACGACGTACTCGTCAATGGCGTCCGTCATGAAGAGAACCTCCACGTCGCGCTGCAGGGCCTCCTCAATGTGCGGGGTCTGCTTCATCTTGCTCACCGATTCACCGGTGAGGAAGTAGATGCTCTTCTGTCCCGGCTTCATGCGGTCTGTGTAGTCCTGCAGGCTGACGAGGGTCCCGTTGCTCTTGCTAGACGTGTACCGCAGTAGCTTCGCCAGGCGACCGCGGTTGTTCGCGTCCTCGAGGATGCCAAGCCGAATGTGTTTGCCAAACTGAGCCCAGAACTTTGGATACATAGGCTCCTCCTTGGCCTTGCCGTCGCCGTCGCCGTCCTTTGCGTCCGTGGCCTTCTGCTCCGCCTTTTCCTTCGCCAGGCGCTCCTTGAGTCGGGAGTCGTTTTCCGCAATCTCAGCAATCATGGAGAGAGCCTTGCGCACAAGCTTCTTCTTGATGACGCGAAGAATCCGACTCTCCTGCAGCACCTCGCGCGAGACGTTGAGCGGAAGGTCGTTGCTGTCGACGACGCCCCGCACGAAGTTCAGGTACCGCGGGAGGAGCTCCCGGAACTCGTCCGTGATGAATATGCGGCGCACGTACAACTTGATGTTGTCGCGGGTGTTCTCGTTGTTGACGAAGATGTCCTGCGAGGCCTCTTGTGGGATAAACAGCACGGAGCTGAACTCCACCTCCCCCTCCACCACAAAGTGGGAGTAGTACATCGGGTCGCGGTAGTCGTGGGTGAGGGCCTTGTAGAACTTGTGGTACTCGTCCGCCGCCACCTCCGCGGGCTTGCGGGTCCAGATGGGCTTGTTCTCGTTCACCACCTCCCACTTATCCCCCTTCTGCATGTAAATGGGGAAGTGCACAAACTCGCTGTACTGGTGCACAATTTTCCGCACACCATCTATGTTGAGAAACTCTAGCGCGTCCGGCTTCATCTCGAGCGTGACCTCCGTCCCGCGACCGAGCGTATTGCCGCGCTCGTCCTCGTAGAGGAAGTACTGGCCGTCGCCGGCCGACTCCCAGACCCACTGCGTGTCGTTGTCGTCGCTCTTCGAGGCCACCCGCACGCGCTCGGCCACGAGGAAGGCGGAGTAGAAGCCCACCCCGAACTGGCCAATGAGGCTCGCGTCCTTCGTCTCCTTGAGCCGCTCCAGGAACCGCTTCGTGCCGGAGGTGCCGAGGGAGCCGAGGTGCTCCTCCAGCTCCTCCCTCGTCATGCCGATGCCGCCGTCCCGCAGGGTGAGCGTCTTGCGCTCGGCGTCGACCGTCACCCGCATCTCCAGGGCGGGCACCTCGCCGTCCTTGTTCTTCGGCTCCTTCGGCGCGGTGAGGTAGAGCATGCGAATCTTGTCGAGGGCGTCGCTGCCGTTGGAGATCAGCTCGCGCAGAAAGACGGCACGGTTCGTGTAGAGGGAGTTGATGAGAATGTCCAGCATCTTGCTCACCTCGGCCTGGAAGGAGATGGGCTTGCCCTTCTCCACGGTCGCGTCAGTCTGCGCCGCCTCCTCGCTCGCCACCGCGCTCAGCGCGACGACCGCGATGAGAAGGGCCTTCAGAATCCAACGCCGCACCAACATTTTCGCTTCTTTTTCCTTTCGTTCTTTTTTTCTTTTATTTTCTTTGCAGTTTGTTGCGTTCTCCTGCTGCTGCTGTTAATCGCAGTCCTCCTCCTGCGTGTCTCTACTTGTCGTGGGGGCGCAGACGGCCGATGTGCCTCCTCGTCCCTTCCTCCGCCTTGCTTCCGCCGCCCTTCTGCCTGCTTGCCTGTCGCTGTTGTTGTTGCTTCTTTTTTGTTTTGTTTTCTTTTGCCTCCCTCCTATTCCCGTGGATTTGCCCCGAATGCCCCCACGCGGTGTCAACGCGGCGGTGCGGGCGGCGAGGGGCGGAAGGCAGGGAAAAGAGCGAAAGGAAAAGTGTTTCTCGCCCGCGGGCGCCGGGGGACTGCGGGGGCGAAGCCGCACACAGACACAGAGAGAATGAAAAAAAAAAAAATAGAAAAGGGAAGAAAGGGCGAGGGCGAGGCGCGTCTCTCCCTCCGCCCCAACGGTGCACCGCCTTCTCCTACCGCGCCACGTCCATCTACCGCTGTCGCCGCTGCGCCTCCGCCTCCTCCCACTTCCGCTGCGCCATCTCGCGACGCAGCTGCATGACGCGCCTCCGCTCCTGCACGACGGCGTAGCGCGGCAGCAGGTACTCGACGCCCAGCCAGCACGCCATGGCGATGCCGGCGCAGAACGTCCCCAGCTGCACACGGCGCAGCACCGACATCTTCCTCACCACCTCCGTGTTCCGCGTCTCCCGCTGCCGCTCCAAAAGGCCCGCGTTCATGATTTGCTGCGCCCTCGCCGAGCCTTTTACCTCGAACGCGCGGCTGCTATGCTCGCTCACAAAGGTGCGCGGGCTGGAGGCCTGCTTGCGGCGCCGCTGCAGCTCCTCCGCGGAGATGCCAAGCTCCTTCGACGGGTCCCGCCGCGCATCATCCACGGCGCCTTTAGCCGCGACGTCATGCTGGCCATCGCCGCCACGGGGTCGCCCGCGTCCGCCCCGCCGCCGCCGCCGCCGCCGCCGCCGCCTGCAGCAGCCGACATGTGTGCGTGAGTGCTGACTGCAGCACCGGACCCGCTCGCCCCCCACGCCGCCAGGCACACGCGCGCAGGCACTGCTCCCACCGGCCCTGAGAAAGAGGGAGAGGAAACAGGCGGCGAGAAAGACACAGAAGTGCACACACAGACAGAGAGAGAGGGAGGGAGGGAGGGACAGAGAAAGGAAAAGGAAAACAACACGGGGCAACGGCGGCAAGAACAGCGGGAGGAGGAGGGTGCACTGGCAGAAGCGGCAGCAGCAGCAGCAGAACAAGAAAAGGGGAGGAGGGAGTGGGACCGAAAAACAGCAAGAGAGAAAAAACGAAGGCGCGACGAAGTTCCCGCACCCACCACGTCGTAAACGCACACATACGGTTCTATGCCCGGCACACGAACGTGAACGCAGGCGGCGAGGGCGCGGAATACCTCCAAGGAGGCCTCCCACGAGTGGTCCTGCCGGCGTCAACGGCGTTGGGTAAGGCCCGCCGGGGCTGCACGCAAAAAAAAAAGCCGAAACACAACCTTCAGGGGAAGTAACAACAATATTAATAGCAATCATATAAAAAGGTGGGGCAAAGAAAACTTCGACAGGGCGCAGTAAAACAAAAAAAAAGTTAAAGCAGAAAGAAAGAAGGGGCAAACAAATAAAGTGGAGAACGCGCGCCTCCGGCAGGAAGGCGAGCTGCAGGGACGAAAACCCGAAACAAAAAAAAAACAGAAAGAGGGAGACCAGCAGTACCCTCTACGGTGTTTGACCCCTAACCCCCTCCCCATTCAAACATACACACACACACCGTTTTCAATCCTTCCGCTCTTGTTCTTTTCTTTTCGCCTTTTCTTCTTTCCTAGTTCCGCTTCTTTGGGGGCGGCGCTGCGAGTTCCCCCTGCTTCTGTCTTTGCTGTTTCTACGGCTCTTTGTCTTCTTGCTTCGGCTGCCTACGTGCGTGACCACCACGACCATCAACCCAGGACCGCGCGGCCCAACTCTCCACGCACCCACTCGCTCGTTCTCCCCCCTCCCCGCTCATCCACACACGCGCACACAAAGAATGAGAGTGAAGGATCCCCCGCAAGGCCCCGCCCCCTCCCTCCTTACCTCGGATGGTTGCCGCCGGACCTTGGGCACCCTCCAGGGAATTGCGGCCGCCCGCGTTGCGCCCCACCCATTTTTTTTTCTTATCTCGTTTTTTTTTTTTCTGTTACTCTTGCTGCTGTTCTTGTTGTCTCTTATTCTTCTCAGCTGGCTCTGTTCCTCCCTCTCGTTGGTTGCCTCCCTTCTCTGCCTCCATGCACACGCGAGGGCCGTGGCTCCCTAAAAGTCGTAGAGGTCCGCCTCGTTTTCCTGGTTGTACGCGGCCATGCTCTGCTGGATCACCTGCTTCATGATGCGCGCCGCCACCTCCTTGTTTGGCTTCAGCGCGTCCGCCGGCAGCGGCTTGCCAGTGATGGGGCAAACGGAGCCGTTCTGCGCAATCCACGCGAGGATCGCCTGCTGCTCGAAGGTGTGGCCGTACGGGGACACGACCGGGTTCTTCATCACGTTGCCGGTGAGGGCGCAGAGCATGACGGGGTCCACGCCCTCAATTACGTCCCTGCGAACTACCGCGATGCGCTGCTGCGTGTCCTCCACGGCGGCGGCGGTCTCGATGGGCACCTTCGCCTGCACCTGCTTCGGGCGCAGAGAGGGCAGCTCGCCGAGGAAGCGGTGTCCGCCACGGCCGGCCGCAGGCGCAGGGACGGGCGGCGGCGTCTGCGCCGCTACGCTCGCCTCCAAGTCGCCGAAGAGCCTCTCCAGCGTGGTGAAGGTGCGGGAGCCGCGGTCGACGAGGGTGTCTGCCTCCACCGTCTTGAGGGCGGTGTGCCACGCCTGCACCCACGCCAACCCGCCTGGGGCGACCTCGCGCTGCAAGAACGCCTCGATCGATTTCAAGAGCGACGCGCTCAGTAATTCATTGGGGATTTCCGCAGGAGAAATATACTCCTCCCCGCCAAGAGCGTCTATGTTGGACATGAAGTGGAACATGTCCACATACACGCGCATGAGGGCACCGGCCACCGGGCTGTCCCGTCGCACGTGCTGCATCGAAAGCTGCAGCATGTCGTGTAGGTAGAGGGAGAAGAGGCGCACCACACTGGCGTGGCGGTTCATACGAAAGGTGCACAAGGAGGCAAACTTATACCCTAGTGAGATGCCGCGCAACATTTCGGTGCTAAGTTCCGGGCCCGTCCCCTCCAGGCTCCGCTGCAGGGCGTCGCACTGCATAAGCAGGTAAAGCGTCACAGAGTGGTCCAGGAAGGTGGTGGAGAGCAGAATGTGCTTCCGCCACTGCGTCGAATTTTCGGAGGAAAAGCGGAAGATATTCATGATACACCGCATGGCGCTGCAGGTGGCGACGTGCAGCAGCGGCGTCATCACTTCCATTTCATCCAGTTGCTCAGTCAAGACATCACTGAGGGACTGAACCGCCTTTAGGCGAAGCATCAGGTGCAAGATGAAGTCTATTTTCTCCGTGAATGAGAAGCAAGACGTCTCCTCCACTGCCTTTGAGGAATCAAAGAAGGCCTGCGGCTGCGTAAAGCCGAGAAGGGCGGTGATGCAGTTACACAGAAGTCCCATTTCGTACGCAGGCTCCTTCAGTAACAGCGCGAGCATCAGTTGCACAGAAAACTGTGTGTTGCCGTCCGTAAACTCCAGCACATTGGCCGCCTTCAGTTTGTACCCCGTCACACGCATGAGAAGCACCGCAACGTGCTCTGACATGCGCCCCAGCTCGGGGTTAAACTTCAGTCTTGCCTCTTCCTTGATCGACTCCTCAAAAAAAACCTCCAGCTTGTCCAGCACCTCGAAGACGCAGCCTCGAATGGGCTTGTGGAGGGCGAAGTTGTTCAGAATGAGACACACACGCGACTTGTTCTCCAGCGGCACCGCCGCCTTGTCGGGGTTGTTCAAATACTTCGTGACGAGCGTCTCCGAGATGCGCTGCGCGCACCGCTTCGCCTCCGCGAGGTCGGGGCCGTAGAACGCGGCCGCCCGGTCAATGTCGCTCTCCTGCGACCAGAACGTGATCTCCTCCACCGTCAGCGGGAGGTCGGACTCGAGACGCCCCGCAAGCTGGTAGATGGTTGCCATCTGCCGTCTGCCTCGAAAACGGTTCTCTCAGCTTTGTGTCGCGTGTTCTGCGTGCCGCCGCCCGGGAAGATTGCGGGGGCGAGACAAAAGGAGGAGAGAGAGGGATAGCGGGACGGGGCGGGGTGGGGGGCGCACGGTCACGGGGGGAAAAAAGTGGGGGAACGCCGGCAGCAATGGAGGTCGGCCCGGCCTGCAGAGCCGCAACGCAGCCCCCGGCCAAACGCATAGAAGGAGGGATGAAAAGGAAAGAGAAAAAAGTACGCGCCCCCCGCATCGCTCGCCGCCTGCGGTTTCCCTGCGGCTTTCGTCAGGCCGCCCACGCGTCCGCAAACACACACGCTAAAAATAAAAAAGGGGGGTGTCAGGGAAAGAGAAACAAAGGAGTAAAACTGGGGGATCAAACGAAGGCCGCGACATTGCGCCCAGCGTGGCCTCGCCAAAAGAGTGGGCAGCGGAGGCGCCGCGGGGAGGTGGCCGCCGAAGAAACAGGGAAGAAAGGGGGGGGGCACAATGCGGCAGCGCTCATGCCGGCCGTGCGCGACGGACGCGTCACTCACCCGGGCGGAGCACGCGCCCTGTGAACGCCGTTTTCCTCCTCAACTGGCAAAAGTGGGCCTCCGCAGCTCACCGGTGCGAAACGACACGGACGGGGGAGAAGCGCGCAGTCACCACGAGAAGCTGACAAAAAAAGAACCAAAACAAAAGGGCAACTGTGTATTACGGCAGGCATGAGACAAAACCCTCGCGCCGCCCCCACGCCGCAAACGTATCCGGCTCCGTCGGAGAGCCTTCCCTCAGCGCATGGAGACGTTGGTCCGCTGTGCCGCCAGCAGGTCCGTCAGGATCGACTGGCTCCCCTTTGGCGGCAGCAGCACCACCTGGTTCCTCCCCGTGTTTCCAACCTCCTTCAGCGAGTCAAAGTACTGGTTCATGAGCAGCAGCTGCACCACGTCGCGCGCGCCAACGCCGGGCACGCTGTCGACAAAGGACTCAATGCTGCTCTGCAGGCCCTCCATGATGGCCCTGCGCTCCAGGGCGAGTCCAACGCCGGCGAGACGCTTCTCCTCGAATTCCGCCTCTGAGGCCTTAATTTTGACGATCTTGTCCAGCTCCGCCTTGTGCTCGGCGGCTGTCCGGCGGTACGCGTTGAGCTGCGTCTGCGCAATGGCCTCCTGGAGCTCCCGCGTCGGCTCAATCTGGGTCACGAGCGTGGCCTCCAGCGTGAAGCCGTACTGGCTGAGCCGCTCCTTCAGTTCCTCCTCGACCGCATGCTTGATGTTTCGCGACACCACAAAAATCTCATCCAGCGTGTACTTCGGCACCTCGCCGCGGATGACGTTGGCCGCGAAGCTCGCAATCTGCTCCCGCGGGTTTGTGAAGCGGTAAAAGGCGTTGGCTGCCTCCTCTGGCAGGACGCGGTAGTGCAGGCAAGCCGTGATGTGCACCAGTGCGTTGTCCTTCGTTTTGGTCTCCACCTTCACCGGGGCAAACTGCAGCTTCAGCGTCACGAGCCCCCGCACCGTCTCAACGCACGGAAGGAGGCAGTGGCAGCCCGGCTCGGCGACGCGCTTGAACTTCCCGCAGCTCTCCACGATGCCAAGCGACGAGGTGTTGACGCAGAAGCAACAGCAGGCCATTTTTTCTTCTTTTTTAGCCTCGCGGGTTGCCTCGTCCCCGCCTCCTCCTCCTCGTGGGTATGTGTTTTCTTTACTCACTACTTTTTCGTTTTCTCTGTTTTGCTTTCGTGCTTGCCGCCTCGCTGAAACGCGTTGCTTGCGGCAGGAGGAAACGAGTGGGGGGTCGAAAGAGGCGGCGTGCGCCGGGCGCCGACGTTCCCAGGCCCCGCCCACGCGAAGGAATAAATCACAGAGGGAGAAGGAAAAAAAAGGGGGGGAACGGAGAGATTCGGGCGGCAGGAGGGGAACACGGCGAGAGGGACAAATGCAGAAACCCCCCGCAGGGACGCCTAACGAAGAAATAAAACAAAAAATAAAAACAAAAAAAGGGAAAAAGGAATGAAAACGATTCGTCACGATTGCCGCAGACACATCAGTAACGTCAACGCGGGGCCCTACGCACACACACACACACACAATTACACACAGGGACGCCCCCGCCTCCACCTTACCTCGCTTTCTCCTTCTCTCTGCCCACGGAGTTGAGGGAAATACGGCGCGTCCCGCAGTTTACGTGCGCCGCCATGGGCTTAGCCCAGCCGCACGAGGTGTTCTCGCACCGCCTGCAGCACCACAAGGGACTCGGCGACGCACTTAGAAAGCGCGCCCCTACACCACGACAGGGCCTCCGCGCCGTACTTCTTAATCGCACTGGGCGGTGGGGCACCATACGCGGCAAGTGTCGCCCATCGCTTGTTATACGGAATACAGCGCACCGAGCCGCTCTCGCTGAGTTGCGCAAGCACCGCCGGTGTGGCCCCGCCCTTCTTCAGGCTGTCCTCGTGCGCCACCACAACGAGGTTCCCTTTCTGCGCCAGGACGCTCTCGCGGAGGCGGAAGAGCAGCTGCGGGGGAAGTGTCACGCCCGGGTTAATGTAGAGCAGAAATGTCATGCGGCGACGCGTCAGGTTGGCCTGGGCACAGGTGTGTGAAACCAGCGAGTACTCCGTGTGGTAGCGGCCGAGTGGGAAGGTCCTGAAAATGACGCGGCTGACAAACCATGCGTTGTTAAAGGAGACGCGGCGGATGCGCTCCGCCACGCGCGACACAATAAGCTCAATGGAAAGTTCCTTCTCCATCTGGAGGAAAAACGGAAAGGGAAGTTGCCGCGAGAACTCCCGCAGCACCGCAGAGGCGCAGGCGAGCTCCTCGGTGGCGCGCTCCACGGCGCCCTGACCCGCGCTGCCGCCGATGGACACGACGGTCATGGGGCGGCGCTGGTCATCCTCGCCGAGAAAAATGTACGACGCCGAGGACAACAGCAGCTCCGACGAGCTCTGCCGCTGCCGCTGGTGGGGCGCCCCGTTGCCGCCCGGCCCGGCGTCCTCGAAGTAGGCGGAGGCCAGCTCCTCCGCCCCCGCCCTGTTCCACGCCTCCGCCACGGGCGGCAGAACCTCCTCCGGCGGGGCAAACTCCCGAAAGAGGCGTGTGGCCACGTACTGCGACTCAAAGTCCATCCCCACGACGTTCAAGCCGAATATCGCCAGCAACGCGAGCCACGTTAAAAGCGACCAGTAGGAGGAGAGGATGTACGAGAGGGGCAGATTGAAAACGCAGCGCTGCTTCATCCGCACCTGCTCGTTGAAGGTGAGCTTTTCCGCCTGCGAGGTAAGAAACCTCCACATGTTGAGCGTCGTCGCAATCCGCGAGCGCGTGGTGGAGATGGGAAGCTGGAGGTCTATCGCCGCGTTGAGGACGTACGTGTACCTGGGATTGTTCCCCGCCGACTCGCTCAGCACCTCGCGCAGAATCACCACGCCTGCCCACGGCGACAGCGTGAGGGGGAGAGAGGTGACGAGCCGACGCAACTCGGCCGGGATTTCGTCGGCGTTGTCGCCCGGGTCGCCGTCGCCGTCGGTTTTGGCCTCTCTCGGGTGCTTGCCCTCGGTGAAGACATTTACAAGAAGAAAGAGTTTGCGCCGGTACTCGTCGTGGATGTTGGGTAGCGGCACATGCTGTTCCACAAAAGCAAAGAGCTCATCGCTGACAACCCTTGAGCTCTGCTGGTTGGCCCCCGTTTCGTCCACGAGGGCCTTGATCAACTTCTCCACAAAGGCCACGAAACGCTCCCGAAGAGAAGCTGGCGTTGAAATCCGCAAGGACGACGACGCACTCCTCACGCCACCGTCCCCACGGCCACTGCCACCACCGTCGCCCTCCGTCGCTGCGGCGGCGGCGGCGGCGGCGCCTCTGCCCACCTCCTCCTCCTCCTCAGCAGCAGCAGAAGAAGAAGAAGGGGCGGCATCGCCACCTTCGCGGGGCGAAGCACGGCCCTGTCTCTCGTCACTGCGCGCGTCGGCCGTTACCGCCTCCACAATGGTGCGCATCTGCGCCTGAACCTGCCTCTTCAGCCGCCGCTGATCCCGCAGCAGCGCCCGCAGAATTTCCTTTAGGCGACTGTACGAGAAGGTCACCAGGGCCCACGGACTGCCGTCCATCACCTGCAGCTCCTCCAGCTGCTCACGCGCCGCCGTGTCGTAGGTGCCCGTGCTGCGCTGCGGCCGCTGAGTTTCCTGCTGCTGTGTGTCAAAAAGACGTGCACCAAGGGCCGCCAAAGAGCTCAAGTCTTCCTTTGAGAAGGAGTGGGGGTCGCGGCGGAGGCGCTCCTCCAGCCCCATCAGCACCTCACGGATGACAAGAATGAAAAACTCCTCATGGCCACTGCTGTCGAGGAGGGGCAGGAGGAGCGCCATCACGACACGAAGTTCAGTGGACTTCGCCGAGAGAAGACCACTTTTCTCCAAGAGACCAATTGCGTCAGCCTGGCTGTGCTGCACCATTTGACGAAAATGGTGGTGGCACATGTGGCAACTGGGAGCCTCCCTCAGCAGCCAGAGCGTGAAGTCCGGCAGCTGTGGGCTGTCCGCGGGAACATCGTACGTGGCCGCCAATAACAAGACACTCGCGCGACAACTATCAGCTACAACGCGCACCACCTGAGCAATCCCACCCGCGTTCGGGAAAGCCGCGGCAAGCGCGAAAAGCTGTGTGGCGGCCGCAAATAAGTAGGTGGGAGGGTTCGCCACATGACCAGCAACGCCGTCGGCCTCACGCTGCAGCAGCCCAAAAAACTGCAAAAGTAAGATGGCCCCAAGCACGTGTCGCAGGTTGGCGCTCGGCGCTACGTCTGCCACCGCATTGGATGGATCCTCCTCAGTTGCAAGCAGGACGTCCCTCACCACATGGCAAAAGTACGGCCGCAGCTCCTCGCTGTACATCGCAAAAAAATAGACGACAGCAGCATCCGACATGCCCCAATCCGTGCCGTTTTCCTTCATGCGTGCCTCGATGGCCTCGAATTGTCGCATGTCAAGTCGGTACCCCTCGCCGGCGTGGTACGCGACATACATCGACCGGAAAGAAGGGAGTCGTGCGAAGGCGGCGGAGGAGAGGTCCCCGTCCTCGTGGAGCCACTTGACGCGATTGTCCTCCTCAGGCGTGAGCAGAAGGCGCGCCACCCAGGAGCCTTTGCCGGTCCCCTCCCCCTCAGCCTCCTCCAGCTGCGAAATTCCCTCGCAAAGCCCGACTTGCTGCGCCTGGGCCAACGCGGGTCCAACCAGGGCCTCGTACCTCGCCGCACCCAAGAGGTCTCGTAACGGCTGCTCCACGGCAGCGAGTTTCAGCGCAAAGACAAAGTCGTCCCGCTCCCGGTCCTCCTCGACGCGAGAGAAGGCAAGCGAGGAATCCTCCGGCTCCGGCTCCTGCTCCTGCTCCGGCACGCGGTAAAGTAGCGCGGCGCAGCAGCAGCGGTTGCGCCTTGGCGCGGGGAGCGCTTCCTTGGGGAGGATGAGGTTCTGCGCACAGACGCCCGGGGGAGTGTTGCGGTTCCGGAGCACGGAGTACGCCGAGCGACGCGTAGTTTTATAGGCGCCCCGCTGCGGAGGCTCCAATGACGCCGGCGCCGAAGACGGGGGAGGCTGGAGGCTGATCGGAATGTCGCCCTCAAAGCGGTTAAGGCCCTTCACCGTCAGGCTGCCGCCGCCGCCGCCACGTGCGTGCCGTCGCAGACAACTCGCGGCAAAAGGCAAACGCGCCATCCTGCTTTCGGCCCTGACAAGAAGCGACTGTCGGGGGCGGCACAATGAGCAAAAAAAAAAGGACGCACGGGTTTGTGCACGAAAAAGAGGGATGAAAAAAAGAAGAGAGAGTATGCAAAAGAGGGGGACAGAACGCAGCACAGTCAGGCAAAAACGAGTAGCACACGCAAAAGAAGTAAAACAAAAACAACAACAAACAAATTCCGAAGAAAAAAAAAGACGGAGGGAAACCAAAAAAAAACCCTGCAGCTGCGTAGTTAATATTGTGCTCTTTATGGGGAGAAAAAGCGAGAATTACCCTCGCCCTCTACGGTAGCCAACGTCATGTGCGACCTCTTCTAGTTGTAGCCCTGCCAAAGCCAGGTGTACTGAGCGAGCCACTAACTGCAGCCTGGGCCCCAACTCCACTTGCAGCTGGAGCCGACGCGCCAAAGCCGCCAGCGGCAGTGCTAGGTGTGGCTGTGGCTGTGGCTGTGGCTGTGGTTGTCGCGGCCGCAAACGGGGCTGCAGGAGCCGCAGGTGCAGCAGATGCGGCAGCGCCAGCAGCAGCTGCTGCTGCACCAAATCCAGTGTTGGTGGAGCCAAGAGGCGCAGGAGCGGGGGCTTGTCGGTGACGCTCGAGAAGCACGTCGTACTGCATTCTGCGTTCCCCGCTGCTAAGGGCACCCAAGCGGTCCAGGCCGACCGAGCGTCTATGGATGTCCCCAATAGTGTAGTGGTCAAGCTCTGAAAACGAGGATGTTTCGGCGGAGCCGAGCGGAAATGGTCGTTTGGGCCCCACCGGCAGCTGCCGCTGTTGCTGGGCAAGCAGCACCTCGGCCTCGGAGGCCCCATACAAGTGGGCAAAGAGGTCCCGGGCGGCATCCGCCCTGGCGTGCAGTCGCGACGACCACGCAGCCAAATTTAGAAGGGCCGCCAACTCATTGCTGAGGGTCGTGTTCATCTGAACGATGGGGTGGGTGGCCATCGTGGGCCGTAGGCCGCCCGCCGCGTCGAGTGGCTTCACCTCTGCCGTGTAGCGTGAGAGGGGCGGCGCGGACGACGCAGGCTCCGCGGTGGCGCTGGCGTTGCCAGCCGCCGCCAGCCGTTTCTGGCGCTGAGCGTTGGGCAGGACGGCAAGCTCCAACTCCGTCAACGCCGCGGAGACGCCCTCCATCCGCGTCTGCACATCGCGGAGGCAGCGCTGAAACGGCTCGGAGGGCAACTCGGTTTGATTGCCACCGCACCGCTGCGTCAGGTCTTGCTCCGCCAGCGGCTCCCAGACCTGCTTGGAGTACTGCACAACCTCCTCCTCGCACTTCTGCAACAGCATGCCGAGGTGCTGCGCCTGAAGCTCCCGCTCAAAGCAGTCCACGCGAATCGCATCCACAGCGTTCTCCCCCGCCGCCAGCTGGGCAAGTTTCTTCTGCAGCTTCCTGTAGCTTGAGGCATCGGCATCGGCGGTGGCGGTGGCGGCTCCCGCTGAATCGGCGAGAAAGCTCTCCACAAACCCCTTTGCCTCGTGCTCCGTCTGGATAAAGTTGTGCAGCTCCATGAGGTGCTGCTGCAGCGACGGTGGCAGCTCTTCGAACAGAACGTCGTCCCGCAGCGTGGAGAAGTTGACGCTGCGTGCCCAGTCAGTGGAGAAGCCCGGACCCTTTATCCCCTTATACGGGGGCACCTGCGGCTGGCCCCCGATAGTCGTTGCGGCGCCGAAGCCCTTGGAGGCACCAAAGCCGCCAAAGCCGGCGGTGCCTGTGCCGAAGCCGCCAGTCGCGGCGGTGCCTGTGCCGAAGCCGCCCGTCGCGGCGGTGCCTGTGCCGAAGCCGCCCGTCGCGGCGGTGCCTGTGCCGAAGCCGCCCGTCGCGGCGGTGCCTGTGCCGAAGCCGCCCGTCGCGGCGGTGCCTGTGCCGAAGCCGCCCGTCGCGGCGGTGCCTGTGCCGAAGCCGCCCGTCGCGGCGGTGCCTGTGCCGAAGCCGGTTCCAGCCGACGTCTGTCCGAGTCCGAACATGCCCTTACAACTACCACACTATAGCGTGGGAGGAAATCAAAGAGAAAGTGGCGGAGCGTGGGCTCGGGGCGAAAAGAGACACAGAAGGCGGCGCCAGAGTTGTGCAGCCCGGCACTGCTTCAACCCCTCAGCA